TCTGCCCCTCTGCCCCTCTGCCCCTCTGCCCCTCTGCCCCTCTGCCCAGGGGCTTGTGGGCTGTGCTGGTCACCTGCATCTCTGCAGCGCCCTGCCCATGGACCAAGAAATCCTTGATTGTTGCAGCCATCTGGAGGGGTGCATTTTGTGGGGAAGGGTCCTTATTGAGAGCAGGCGCCTCTCAGTTCTGTAGGCCAGAGCCCTGCTCCCATGTGCCTGTGACTAGCCTCAGGGAGGTGTTTGCTCATCAGCACTGGTGGGAACATGGAGGCAGTGCCCACAGCTTGCTCTGGTCCCCGTGTGCTTGATAAGCAGGGCTGCCTCAGGGTAGGTGGCAAATGCAGCTGTGGTATATAATTGCATCCCACGTCTCTCCCAGGGCCCTGGCCGATACAAGACAAACGGGGAAGTTAAGCAAAGAGCAATTCGCGCTAGCTATGTATTTCATTCAGCAGAAGGTCAGTAAAGGCATTGACCCTCCTCAAGTCCTCTCGCCTGACATGGTGCCACCCTCGGAGAGAGGCACACCCATTCCAGTGAGTAGCCAGACATCACTGTTTCTGTTCTTCTTGCCACCTGCCAGAAGGTGGCGCTGGTGCCCCTATTGCCCTATAGTCCCTAGTCCCCCAAGGCCAAGGTTGGGGTGGGGGACCCTATGACTGGGTCACCTGGAGTGTTCTTAGGCAGTGGCCAGCACTTTGGTCCCTTGACCAGAGATGTGGGCTTCTGGCTCCCTGTGACTCTTGATTTTTGATCCTAGGACAGTTCAAGTGCTCTCGGGTCAGGGGAGTTCACTGGTGTGAAAGAGCTGGATGACATCAGCCAAGAGATTGCACAGTTGCAGAGGTACGTGCCTGACTACTTCCTGGTGGCTCCTCTTGCAGCAGCCTTGTGTCCATGCCCTTGGGAGCTCCTGAGGGAGGAGAGGACACAAGTCTTGTCAGATCTGTTTCTGTTTGCATCATTGTTGCTCTGAGCCTGTATTGTTCAGGTAGCCTCAGGCAGCTTGCAGCTGCCTAGGGACACAAACAGCAGAGGCAGGCGAGAATCCAGCACTCAGCTTAGGTGACCCGAGTCTGGTGGGGTGGGCCAGTTCCTCACCGCTTCCTGTGGAGAAGTTGGAGGTGGCCACAGGGGCCTTGGAGACCTCACTGCCCTCTTACCACAGGCGAGATGACTGTCATTGCATTCATTGGCACTCCGTGCACTCTCCCTGGCTGCCCTAGCCGGACTTTGCCCTCCATTCCTGTCCTCCAGGAAATTCTGCCATATCTTTCCATTCCTACAGTACCTCCTCAGAGACCACTGTTCCTTGTGGTACTGTATGGCATTCATCTACAGTTCTTTGTCCCCACTATCTTTCTCTTTGTTGAGAGGACCATCTGAAACGTTGCTCGGTTTCAGAGTGCTGAGTGGCATTTGATTGGGTATGGGATGTAGAGGGCAGTTTCTGTGACTGTCACAGAATTGAGTAGCTTGGTGTCACAAGTGTATTAGCTCAAAGGGAGGGAGGGAGGGAGTCTGGGTGTTTGCACCTGGGGGTGTTGGAGCCCAAGGAAAAGGTGCATGCCTGAGCTTCCCTCTGGGTCCTTGCTGCTCTGGGTCCAAGCTCTCCATTCCCTTGCTGAATGTCTATTGGGGTCACCTTGCTAATGCTGGAGGCCACCCCTATTCCTTCCTATATGCCTCATGAACCTTCAGAGCCAGGAAGGGCTTTGCAAGTCCTCACCTCGGAGCCTCCGTTTTCCTGTTTGCCTGCCAGATGTTGAAGACACTGTGCTCTTAGGTGGTGGCACTGAGAGGAAGGCCTCTCGAAGGTTCTGCTGCACCCTAGGGTGGGGAGCGTTGTTGGTTAGTTCAGGAGTGTTGCTGTGAAAAATACCTGAGGCTAGCACATGTGTAAAGAAGGGGCTTCTTTAGCTCAGCTTCAGAAGCTGATGTGGGGTCTGTGAGGACCCCAGAGTGCGTCCTGTGATGACACATGGAGGGCTGCAGCAGTTGTTCTGTATGGGAATGTGTTGAGTCAGGCCTGACATCAGCACCTCTCTGCAGTGTCAACTGTTTCTTGGTCCTTTTTTGGGGGGGTGGGGGGTGGGGATCAAGACAAAGTTTCTCTGTGTAGTCTTGGCTGCCCTGGTCTTGAACTAACAGCGATCCACCCGCCTCTGCCTACCGAGTGCTAGGATTAAAGGCATGCACTGCCATGCCTGGCTTGTTTTCTTGTTCTTAACCTACAGAGAGAAGCATTCACTGGAGCAAGACATCAGAGACAAAGAGGTGGCAGTCAGACAGAAAGCCAACGAAGTGCAGGTGCGTGCGTGCTGCACCTCATTCGGTCCGTCATATCCCGAGTGTAGGGCCACAATTTAGGAATAGCCTTGGGATTGCAAAATGGTTTTGTTTCCTTGGTAGCAATGGGAGAGGAACATGGGGTTTCACTCATGCTTGGGAGGCACTGAGCATAGAACCCTAAGCCTCACCTGTGCTCAGGTGCCAGAAACAGAACCAAGTGGCCTCATGCTCATCCTTGGTTTGGGGATGGAGCCCCTCTCCACACAGGTTCTACTCCTGTGTGTTCTACAGCCAGTGTCAGCATTTGATCTCTTGTTCAGGGAATGTTGTTACCAATGTCAGTCAACATCAACCCATTTCCCATAGGAATTACAAAATGACCTGGACCGGGAAACCAGTAGTCTGCAGGAGCTTGAGGCTCAGAAACAGGATGCCCAGGACCGCCTGGATGAGATGGACCAGCAGAAGGCCAAGCTGCGGGACATGCTGAGTGATGTGAGGCAGAAATGCCAGGATGAGACCCAGATGGTGAGTTCCAATGTGGCAGCTGTCCCCTGAACTTCCCTGACAGCTCTTGCTGACAAATGACAAAATGCCTAGAGCGGAAGCACTGAGACATCAGCTGGGAAACATCCAGGCATTTGAGGCCTGGCCTGTGAATGATCCCTCTGTCCCTAGAGGTCAACTTGCAAAATTGTATGGCTTTAGTACCATGTCCTGGATGTCCTATGGTGGTCTGTATCCCACAGCAGGGGAAGGGCCTCCCTGCCTCCTGGAGTTGCCACTTTTATCACGAATGATCTTTCTCCTCTAATTGCAGAACCTGTATACCAGCCTCTGGCTCTGTGCAGATTCCTTATGCTTTATACTTATTTATTCATTTTTGTGGGAGAGATTGTGTCTCTGTGTGTGTACTTGCATGTGTGTGAGTATGTGTGGTGTGTGTGTGGTCAGAGGATAGCATAGGAGTCCTCTCCTTCCACTCCTCTCCTTCCACCATGTGTACCCTGGTTTCAGGCTTGGGAGCTGGCACCATTACCCATCAACCATCTCCCCAGCTGCACACACAGTGAGAATGCTTAGTGTCTGTCTGTCTTTCTGTGCCCTTTCTGTGTAAATCTTTTTGGCTCTCAATTCAGATCTCAACATTGAAAACCCAGATCCAATCTCAGGAGTCAGACTTAAAGTCCCAGGAGGATGACCTGAACCGGGCCAAGTCTGAGCTGAATCGGCTGCAGCAGGAGGAGACACAGCTGGAGCAGAGCATCCAGGCTGGACGTGCCCAGTTGGAGACCATCCTCAAGTCCCTGAAGTCCACACAGGATGAGATCAACCAGGTGCTTTGATCAGGATGGCTGCCAGCTAAAGCTGGGGTTCCCCTGTGTGGCTGCACTATTCCTGTGGCTTCCTTCTGTCTTACCTGCTAGTGTGTAATGGGTCAGTTGTGCTGTGGAGATTAGCTGCTGAGGACTTTGTACGATTTAGCTCATGGTACCTGGCTCCCTGTCTCATGAGTGCTTGGTCTCTCCAGGCAGCCAAGAGGAAGTTCTGACTCTGCCCTGTCCTTCTGCATATGTGGTCATTGGACTTCATGATGGTCTCTGGGATGCAGGCCACAGAGAAGGTGATGCTGGCCCTCAGCACACAGGAAAGAAAACCTGTGTTCTCTAGACTGAAGTTGCCTGCTTGTCTGCGAGCTACAGGCTTACAGCCAGTGTGGGCACTTCCCCCAATCTCAGTGGCTTCACATCTTATATTGTGTTTTATAAAGATTAATTCCATGGGGCTGTTTTCAGGGTTCTTCTTCTCAGCCTTCAGAAACTGTTCCTTGGAGATGGCCTAAGACACATGCAGATATTGCTAATAGAAGTCATGGTTGATTATGGTAATAGACAGGAATCAGTGTATAACCCCTGCAGGTTTGGAACTTACTCTGTAGACCAGACTGGTCTTGAAGTTACGGAGATCTACCTGCCTCTGCCTCTTGAGTGCTCGGATTAAAGGCATGGGCAACCATGGATTTTTTTTTTTTAGCTCACGTCAGCCTTGAACTTGCGACCCATATTCCTGCTTCAGCCTTTTCAGGCCTTCCTCTGTTTTTCCTCCTCCTCTTCCTCTTGTCCTTTTTCAGCGGTGCACAGGATCCTTTCACAAGGTCAGGGCCTCCGGCCTAGTGGTCCAGCTTGTGCAGGGCAATCCTTGTCAAGTGTGTGATCCCCAGGGAAGGCATCTTGCCGACTGTACCCTGAGCTTTCCTTGATGTCCACGGTGTTTGTCTTGTAGGCAAGAAGTAAGCTTTCGCAGCTGCAGGAGAGCCACTTAGAAGCTCACCGGAGCCTGGAACAATATGACCAGGTGCCTGATGGAGTCTCCGGCACCAGCCTGCCTGACCTGACCACCCTGAGTGAAGGTGTCTTGCTGGCAGAAAGGGGCGGCTTTGGAGCCATGGTAAAGGTTGAGTAAGCGTCTCCGGGTCCACGTGGGGTCTGCTGCAGCTGCCAATCTGTTCAAGGCACTGGCTCCCTCTTGATTTTGATGGCAGCCTGCCTGCACCGGGGCTGGTGGCCAAGTTCATCCAGCCATCTAGAAGCTGTGAGGCCCAGGTGTTCCATCTTCTCAGAAGTGTTTCTATTGGGCCAATCACCCAAATGTGGAGGGCAAACCTAACCAGAGCCAATGTAGTCCCATGCTGTGGAAGCTCCGTGCGCCACTGATTGGCAGCCTTGGGTGCATGTGGACATGTTCCCATCAAGTGATTCTGAAAGATGAAAAAACAGGCTGGAAGTGCAGCTTGGTAGTAAGCATTGCAAGCTCCAGTTCCATGCCTGAAATACACACACCTGCCTTCCAGGTGCTGTGTGGTAAGCTGCCAGCCAGCCTCTTCTGGAAGATCTCAGCACTGTGTGGCCCTCACTGCTTGTGAGCCATTGATGCTCAGGCGGTGTGACCTTTCTCTCAGGTTGTCAGTTCCCCTTCTGGAGTCGTCAGCCCCAGTTCAGGACTGTCTCTGTGGTTGGGCCTGAAGGTCCTAGTATCAGGGGTGCTATGCTATTCTTAACCACTTGGCTGCCTTATCTTCCAGGGCTCTGCCTTCCTCCAGCCCTGCTGCTTCTCCCTCTTCATCCCTTCCCTCATGTGATCGCCACTTGCCTTGCACTCTAAACACAGCCACCTCCCTCTCTTCTCTGGGTTTCTTTCCCATCCAAGAGTTCACAGGGAAACCTGTACTTCCCTTGGACCACTTAAAAGGTGCTGTTTGTATCTTGTGTGTGCCCACCCAGAGGTCCTCTTCACTCTTAGACTCACAAGCAGGTGGCTTCCTGCCCACCATGGGTGTCTGTTCCATGGAATTCCCATGGAATTCCCTGCTTTTTGGCCTGTAGCTGGTGTGTGTTTCCGTCTTGCAACTGCATTCTTCTGCTCCACCTCATTATCATCCTCCATGTGGCTGGCTTGTCCTATGTCCTCCTGGGTCAGGGAGAGGCTCCCTCTAAGCCTCCCCTTGTGGATTGTTTGGTATGTTGTTTTCCTTTCTTTTCTTTTTTTTTCCTCTCTCCTTTTTTTTTTTTTTTTTTTGAGACAGGGTTTTTCACTGTGCAGCCCTG